AGACAAATGCCCCATTGGATGCAGCACAAAGGAGAATAGATATTGTTGAAAATACACTGATACATGGTAATATACTAAGAGAAAAGCAAGCAATTAAAATAGAAATTAGCAAAAAACTTAAAAGGACTTCCAATATAAGCATAACCAATATTCTCAAAGAAAAAGAATGTGAGTAAAAAATGTTAGCATTCAATCCATTACATATTTTTATTCAAGTACAATGACCCAGATAAGCATTTTTGAACATGAAGGACAGTGGGGAATATAATTCTTATAACCCCTAGTTCAGGATAAACTTCAGCTAAGCAGAAACCATAGCAAAAGGCCTGGAGGTGAGCTTTGAATTAATTCAACTGTAGAACTATGACTAAAACAAAAGAGATTATGGTTGCACAACAGAATGAATGTTATGAACCCTAATAATGTTTTCTAAAAAACCACATTGCTTTCATTAATGATAAAAATCACTAAAGTAAACGTCACCAGAATATCTAGGCAACAATTCACAAACCTTACAAAAGTATTTTAAATTTAGTACTCCTAAAACTTTCAGAATTAATGAATGATACACCAGTGTTTCTATCAAGCTGTAAAGTGAAATGATTCCTTGATGCCTATGTCCAAGTCTCTTTCTTTGGATTGCTTGTTTTTGTTGTTTGGTTGGTTGAACTGTTTGTAAAATTAAAGTGTAATATAGGCAAGTACTTCTGAAATAACCTACTCTTGATCTCTAGAAATTTCTTTGGGAAGAATCTGGCAGTTACTGAATTGAAGATTATAAAAACTTCCTCAGTCATTCAAGCCACAGAGGACCCTGGCCTAATTAGAATTCTCCCTCTCTAGCTGCCTTCTTCTAGTGCTTTTCAGAGATCAGCTTTTTTTCTGGTCTTGTGCAGTGAATTATGGACCTTGGTAGTAAAACCCATATATGCTGGTTAATTAAGTCAAAAACTACTCAAGCATCTCAAAAAGTGAACGTCTAACCTTAGAAACATTACATAATTTTGCATCACTAACAGCCTCAGCAGCTGATTTTTTTATTATTGAAAACTGATAACCAAAATAAGGGTATGTGTGTTAGGTCAGACATCTCTGTTTGGCCTACTTCAATTTACACAAACAGAAAATATTTTTTGAGTTCACAATTTCCTTTCATATGTGTTCTTCATTATTTAGTCTAATATGGGGGTTGTGGTATTATAAAAATACAATTGAGAGTTTAAATAGCCCATATTCAATCAACGAAGTATCTACTTTGGCTGGATGTTGCAGTGGTTTCCAAACTGCTTTAGTCTCACAACCCTAGTAAGTACCAGATTTGTGGGCATATACTCCACAACATGAATGTATTTATTTATAGATGAGCACGTGTTACTATATTAATATACTATGTACATGGTTAAAATACAGAAATTTCTGAAGAATTAAAGATAAAAAATATTTTATTTATTAATGGCAAGTAACTTTTTGCTGCCACTAGAAATTATTAATAATATTTAACAAGAACAATGTACTTTAACATACTTTATGATTTCTGAACATTTTGGCTTAATATTTTATATTCGAGCAATTTAAAGCTCAATGTGTTTTGATACTTAGTTTTAATGGATAGTATAGGTACCACATAAAAATACGGAGATCTAAATGGGAAAAGGTCATAATGCCACTGACTCTATCCTCTGATAATGCAAAGGCTTAGGGGTTTTAAAATTTGTTTTGTTTTCTTAAATTATTATTTTGTTGCTAATGCCAACTAAAATTCAGCTAGTAAATGTCTATCTTTCCTGATATCTTGCTAATGAATTATATATATATAATTATATATTTATATATGTTAACCATATGTAATCATACACACAATTATTAATAAAATATAATTAATTGTATGCTATATAATCATATATAATTAATTATATACAATCTTTTTTTTTTTTTTTTTTTTTTGAGACGGAGTTTTGCTCTTGTTACCCAGGCTGGAGTGCAATGGCACAATCTCGGCTCACCGCAACCTCCGCCTCCTGAGTTCAGGCAATTCTCCTGCCTCAGCCTCCTGAGTAGCTGGGATTACAGGCACGTGCCACCATGCCCAGCTAATTTTTTGTATTTTTAGTAGAGACGGGGTTTCACCATGTTGACCAGGATGGTCTCGATCTCTTGACCTTGTGATCCAACCGCCTCGGCCTCCCAAAGTGCTGGGATTACAGGCGTGAGCCACCGTGCCCGGCCTATACAATCATATTAATATTATTTATTGCATATATAAATATATAATTATGTGCAATTAAATTATATAATATATACTACATATATACTTAAATTATGTTGTATATTACATATATACAATTATATACATTAATATTACAATTATATAGTACATGTAATTATATATATAATTCAATTGCTCTAATACTTTAATACATTTTCAAGATATACTCTAACCCATAGAAAGATGGACATATAAAAATACATATATATATATATATATATATATATATATTTTTATATGTATATATTTTTTTTTTTAAGAGATAGGGTCTTGCTTTGTTGCCCAGGCTGGGGTGCAGTGGTGCAACCAAGACTCACTGCAGCCTTGAACTTCTGGGCTCAAGAGATCCTCCCATCTCAACCTCCCAAGTAGATAGTAGCTAGGACTACAGGTATATGCCACCACACCTGGCTAATTTCTGTACTTTGTGTAGAGATAGGATCTATGTTGCCCAGGCTGGTCTTGAACTCTTGGCCTCAAGCAATCCTCCTGCCTTGGCCTCCTGAAGTGCTAGAATTACTAGTATGAACCACCACACCAGGCTAAATTTCTGTTTTTAAAAATTGTATGCTAAAATCACCACAACTTTGTAGATATTTTTAGCTAGGTTAGGACATTCTTTTTTTTTTTAGACAGAGTCTCACTCTGTCACCCAGGCTGGAGTGCAGTGGTGTGATCTCAACTCACTGCAACCTCTGCATTCCAGGTTTTCAAGCGATTCTCCTGCCTCAGCTTCCCGAGTAGCTGGGACTACAGGCACATGCTACCATGCCCAGCTAATTTTTGTTGTTTTAGTAGAGATGGGGTTTCACCATACTGGCCAGGCTGGTCTCAAATTCCTCACCTCAGGTGATTCACCCACCTTGGCCTCCCAAAGTGCTGCGATTACAGGTGTGGGCCACCACGTCCAGCCAGGACATTCCATTTTAAAGGTATCAAACATGCAGATATGAAGAGTTTTAACAGGTGACATACATTATGTTTTAAAATAACATTTTCAAATGTGTATTTCAAAACTGTTCTCCCTGTAACACAGCTTTTCTTCTAAGAAGGTGTTACTTTCTCATTCATTGTTATAACATTGCCTGTCTCTTGAATGGCCATATTTAAATATGTTTTTCAAAAATCTCTACAAGGTAGTATCTACTAAAACCAATTAACACATAAAGCTCAGCAAATTTGGACGACTTGTCTTTTTGTAAAAAGAAAATGACTATCAATTTTTAGTTCCTTTGTTGAAAACAACTTTTGTGTGGTAGAAGTATATTGATATTACCTATCTCATCACAAAATACAAAGATGCTACATTTTAAAGGACTTGCTTTTACAAAATCAACTAAGTAATACTTTCCTATAAGCACTTTGTATGCATCTGGCTTTAACTTCTTTGCTCTTCTTCAATAGCTTGCTCAGTAGCTTGTCAACGATGCAGCAAATGAATTTCATATATTTTAATGATAATGACTGCAAATCCTTATTCAAGTAACCTGCTTAATAATTTCTATTGAGAAGGGTTGGCTCTGGTCATATTTCATTAAATTACTTTTATCCCAAATGGGAACATCTGCCCGATGTTCCCCAATATCCATTCTCTCTCCCTCTTCCTTGGCATCAGAACCTCTATTCTTGGGCTCATCATTGCCCAGAGCAAAGACTACATTTTCCAGAACGCTTTCCCCTTGCAGCTATGCATGACCTTGGAACTAAGTTTTGGTCACTGGGTTGTAAGTAGAAAACATATATACCCTGAAAAGGAGTGGAATACCTTCCTGCTTTCTTTTCCTCCTACCAGCTGGAATTCAGATTTGACTGCTGAAACTTAAGCAACCATCTTGAAGTAAGAGGGAGAAGCCAGGTGTTGATGCAGCCAAAGCAACAAGAAAAGGGGCAATCTGGATCCTTCCCGACTGTGTGGTCAACAGTAAGCCCTGGTTTGCCCATGTTTACGTGACAGACAAATGAATTTCTATCTTCTTTGAGTTTCCGTTCTTTTGGGTTTTCTGGCTCTCACTGGTGTGCCAAACCCTAATGAATGCACCTGGTAATGGGGTTGATGAAGAGCTCATGCTGGGAGTCACAGAAGAGACAGCTCTGCTGTGTTCTCATATCAGCATGTGTTTGCACTATTCATACTACCTTCAATCTGCAGTTTCCTATCAGAAACTGCTTTTAAGCCACTTGTCCATTTTGTCAGGATTCGTTCATAAGAACCACATAACGTAATCTTTAAATCCACTTTATCAGGTACGTGTGAACTGCAATATGTCAGTAGCTTTGAAAGTAAGTGAAGGAGGAGGCTACCATCAGGCAACTCCAACTGTCTTTTCCAGACAACTCAAGAGCCACATGTAACCTGTGTTTGTCTGAAATACAGACCATGTGAGGACACCAGCATCCATGCTAAATATTAATAAAGCTTCATTTTCCCTTGGTTCATACAGAAGTATCTGAAGAAGTTCCACTTTCTTCCTGTTCCTCTCCTGCCCCTACTCACAAGTGCTTGTATGCACCTGGCTGGTGTACAAGCCCCTCCCTTTACAGTCCACTGTCAAGGGCATGGAAGGACTCGCAGCTAACTATAGATTTCCCTCCTGGATCATGACACTAGGCTGCAAGACAAAAATGTTCTTGGCTGAAAAATCAGAATAAATAAGTGCTTTCCATAAAGTCAAAAATGTGTAAAAGCAAATGGTACATCAAAAGGTGGGTGTACAGGAAGATTTTGATGCCTTACCTGAATACCTCGAGAACAGTCCTTTCCGGTAATTTGGGAGCCACCTGCCTAAATGCTTTTTTGAAATCTTCCAAAGTTAAAAATCCACGATCTATTTGAAAACAATAAAAAATATTCACTTACTTTGATGAGCCCTATGAAATGTTACTTTGGCCACAACATTTGTGCAAAACTTATTTTAATATATCACTAGGAGAAAAGCAGTAATTTATGATTCATTTTACACATAAGGTAATCTGAGGTTGTCCCATCTGAAGAATTTAAGAATCTAATCACACTTTACTTCAGTGTAGTCCCAGTTGATCTTGAAGGTCACTTGTGACCCTATCATTTTGCTGATTCTCTCAGTCCCAGGGATTCATATATGAGACGTGCACTGTAACAATGGTGTTAGACTTTGAGTCTTTGTGAGTTGCCAAAACAATGCAGTCTTCAAAATTCATGTCTTTTCCCTTGTCTGGTATTAGAATAATGAAATGTTAATATTTAGAAGGAAATCATAATGGCAGCCAAGACATTGAACCTAGTCTCCACAAGCCTTTTCATTCTGTGTATGATCTATGGGGCTTAGGGGGTCTTCAGCCACCCCTCTCAGCCACACCCTATGTGGAAAAATAATTCCACCAATCATATGTAGGTCAGAGCAAGAGTTGACGAAGAAGTCACACAGTCTCCCACACCTCCATAAGTGGCTCATGTCCTATATCCCCCATGGCCAGTCCTTTTGCTGTCCCCATGACCATCAAGGTATAATATATAATATATTAATACAACTATATAACTGTAAATACTTTTTTTTTTTGAGGCAGAGTTTCACTCTTCTTGTCCAGACTGGAGTGCAATGGCACAATATCAGCTCACCACAACCTCTGCCTCCTGGGTTTAAGTGATTCTCCTGCCTCAGCCTCCCAAGTAGTTGGGATTACAGGCATGCACCACCATGCCCAGCTAATTTTTGTATTTTTAGTAGAGACGGGGTTTCTCCATGTGGGTCAGGCTGGTCTTGAACTCCCAATCTCAGGTGATCTGCCTGCCTTGGCCTCCCAAAGTGCTGGGATTACAGGTGTGAGCCACTGCACCCAGCCTGTAAATATTATTTCATCCATGATAAATGTTAAGAATTTAAGATCACGATGCAGAAAAAAACGTGCACCAATACCTAAGATAACAGCTAATGAATACAGTAATCTAATCTTCCAAGTATATTATATGCTTGATTTACTGGGTATATATAATCCTATTCGCAATCCCTTAATAGCAATTTTTTATATCAAAACACTTCAGAGACACTTACAGTACGTGTCAAAGGCTGTGAAGATGTGTCTTACTTCATTCCGATATCGTTGAGCTTCCTTCTTCTTCTTTACAATATTTAAAAACTCCTCAAGTAATATACCTAAAAGTTGAGAAAAAAACAATTTGTCAAAGATTACTGACTTCCCCTTTAAGAAAAAATTAAACAGAAATGAACAGTCAGAAATATCACCAGTAATCAAATTTTATCTTAATTTTGGTGAACAGTATTTACTCATGATCTGTAAAGTTTCCTGAAGACCTAAAAAGGCATTTTGCTAGAAGCTAACATTTAACAGACCCAACACTAGAAATCAATAGTGAAAATGCAAGAGACTTTTAGGGTTCATTGAGCTTTTTCCAGGGGTAAAGGAATAGTGAACTTGAAAAAGTTTAACACTCTTCCCTCTAACAGCTCGAATAGGCATGAAACTACTTATTAAATAAGGTCTCCTAATTTCTTTCCTTATGCTTCTTTGATCCCTTTTTTCCTAGCCAGATGTCACAACAGTAGGTTTTTTTTTTTCTCCAACTGGGAGATCGGGTCAGAGAAGTAGTTTCTTAAAAGTCAATACCAATTGCATACCATAGATAAAGGTGGAGAGAATACTACATAAACAATAGAGCTGGCACCATCCCCAGCCCTGGATACACTCCACAACGTGTGGAGCAGCCTCAGGCTCAGCTTCCTGCGACTCTGATAATAAAAGAGCCCAGCGTGATAAAATGAGATTGGATACTGTGCTTACAACGTCTATTAAAATGAATTCTAATGTGATCTTTGTAGTAGGTTTAAAGAGCGAAGCCAAGAATTTAAACATTTTGGTGAACTGAGCTCTAAATATATAAAAAGAGCGGTTCATTTATATAACTCAGAATTTCCATAAAAAACATCATCGCTCCGTTTTAAAAATAGCCTCCAACCATACAATAACCACATGCACGTTTTTTCTTTTAGTGAGGTAATACTAAGCTGTATACTTTTCTAAAATAGCTCCAATCATTTAAAAAAAGGTAGAAATGATTTTCTTAATTTCCTACATCTTTATTTATATTTAAAGATTTATCAACTTAAAACAAAGATCTGTCTTTCTGTTTTCAAATGAGTCCTTTACAATGTTTTAGGACCTACTGTGGGCCAGGCACTGCATTAAGCTTTGGAAATAGAGGGGAAAAGAGAACATACATGCTCCCAAGGGAGCGACCTGTCTGGTGGGGAAGGCAGTCATTACACAGGTTCGAATGCAAACGCACACCTCATTGTAAACTGTGGCATGGGCAATGAGGGGAAAGACATGAGGTTGTGAAAAAGATTCCCCGGAATCCTCATGTAGACTCTGGTGAAGGAGAAATCCCTTCAAGGAGGAGATATTTAAGCCAAGATATAAACCTTGAGACAACACCAACTGGCTAATGTTGCGAAGAAGAGCACTGTTGGCAGAAGAAAAAGCCCGTGCCAAGGCCATGAGGTGGCAGGGTGGGAAAATGAAAAAAGGCTGCTGTGGTTGGAACGAAGTGAGCCAGAGAGAAGTGACACAAGATGAAGCTGGGGAGGGAGGCAGGGGCCAAAACTCACAGGCTCCTGTGGGTCACAGTAAATAATTTGGGTTTTATTTAAGTGCAATAGGAAGTCAACAGAAGTTCTGAATTGGGAAGTTATAGACCTGATTTTTGAAAGATCTTTCTGGCTATTATCTTGAAAAAAGGATTGGGGTGGGGGAGCAAAAAAACGTAAAGAGAGAGACCAGCTAGGAACCTACTGGCAAGAGATGTGGTTGCCAGGTTGCTGGCAGTGGGAATGAGAGGAGTGGAAGGTTTCCAGATATATTTTAGAATCTAAATGACATAGCTTGATGAAGAACTAGATGTGGCGGGTGAGAAAGGAGATGTCAAGAATATCCTGTAGATTCTGGCTGGAAGAGCTACTTAAAGAAAGGAGAACGTCTAGGGGAAGAGCAAAATTGGGGCAAGATGAAGAGTTGCCATTCAGATGTGTGAAGTGTGAAGTGCTCCAGAGACAAGCAATAGGAGAAGTTCAGGAGGTGGCCGGCTGTCCTCCGGACAACAAGACATATCTCCCTCACCTACCCGAGTGCCTGACAGGTGCTCAACCATATGTACTGTAGTAAATTAGCACGTGTAGCATTTTTTCCATAGTTGTGGGGATATACACTGATGCAGTTCCACGCGAGGCATAGTGGCTCACCCCTGTAATCCCAGCACTTTGGGAGGACAAGGTGGGTAAATCATGAGGTCAAAGGTCAGGAGATTGAGACCATCCTGGCCAATGCGGTGAAACCCCAGTTCCACTAAAAATACAAACATTAGCTGGGTGTGGTGGTGCGTGCCTGTAGTCCCAGCTACTGGGGAGGCTGAGGCAGGGGAATCGCTTAAAGCCAGGAGGTTGTAGTGAGCCGAGATCGTGCCACTGCACTCCAGTCTGGGTGACAGAGCAAGACTCCATCTCAAAAAAAAAGAAAAAAAAATTGATGCAGCTCCATTCTTATCTAATCACTGTTGTGGCAAAGAACATATGCAAAATTGCTGAGGTTAAAATTGAAGTCTAGCCATGTCATGTTCCCATAAGGTCATATCTATAACTTGACTTTCATGAACACCAAAAGCTAGTCAATTAAGTAGCATCTAGAGTAGCTGAAATTCTTGAATAATTCATTCACTGATAATGGCATGTCCTATGAGGGCCTTCAGAAACATACCCCAGTTTACCGCTCAAGGCTTCCTAGTCAACTTCCTGATGCTCTCCCAAGACAAGTGGCCCTTTTATACGCCACACCTTTGCCTGTGTAAAACACGCTGCCTGGAATCATGCACTTGCTCCTTTTTTTCTCCTAGTGAATGTTTACATCTCCTTCCAGATCCAACCCAGGCAACATCCCCTATTTGAATGTGTCTCTGATTTCTCTCAGCCGAGTCCTTTTTCTATGACCCGACAGCCCTTTGTTGATTATGCAATCACAGAAGTGATTAGGATCTATGGTAATTATTTGGCCGCAGGTCTGCCTGAGACATGCTGAGGGAAAGCAGTTACAGTGTTCAAAATTTTATCCCACGATTAGCATGATGCCTAGCAGACAATAGGCATGCATTACATGTTTGCTGAGTAACATTCAATTAATAACAAATAAGATGTTATTTCTAGTTTTTAGTAAAAAACATTAAAATGTGTATGTCGGGGAGGGGTGTTCTCCTAGAGACAAGGTCTCCCTCTGTTGCCCAGGCTGGAGTGCAGGGGCTAGTCACAGGCATGACCACTGCGCACTGCAGCCTCAAAATCCTAGCCTCAAGTGATCCTCCACCTCAATCTCCCCATTAGCTGGAACTAAAGGCATATGCCACCACACCAGGCTTAAAATGTATATTTTAGACCAGGCATGGTGGCTCATGCCTGTAATCCCAACACTTTGGGAGGCCAAGGTGGGCAGATCGATTGAGGTCAGGAGATCCAGACCAGCATGGCCAACATGGCAAAATCTGTCTCTACTAAAAATATAAAAATTAGCCAGGTGTGGTGGCTCATGCCTGTAATCCCAGCACTTCGGGAGGCTGAGGTAGGTGGATCACCTGAGGTCCTGAGGTCAGGAGTTTGAGACCAGCCTGGCCAACATGGCAAAACCTGTCTCTACTAAAAATACAAAAATTAGCCAGGTGTGGCGGCATGCACCTATAATCCCAGCTACTTGGGGGGCTGAGGTACAAGAATCACCTGAACCTAGGAGGTGGAGGTTGCAGTGAGCTGAGATCGTGCCACTGCACTCCAGCCTGGGTGACAGAACAAGACTCTGCCTCAAAAAAAGAAAAAAAATGTTTTAAATGGTCTTATTATTCTGTATGTGAATGCCAAAAAGTAGGTCACTTTCTATTCACATAGCCAGCAAAATAGTCACTTCAGAAACCCAAATTCTTAAAACATGATGTAGTAAAAACCAACCAAAATTCTGAGAGAACTACATCCATAATATTTGCTCTTATCATTGCATTTGACTTAGAGAAATGACAAAGGGAAAAAAAGCACAATTCCATGGTTCATTGTGTACCTCACGAAAAAATAAAGGACATGAGTGGTGACATCTTTTAAATTACATATTCAGATAATTCATGAGTATTTGCAGCTATGAAGTATTTGGGTCTTTACTTCACAATATTGCAGGATAAAAACAAATGTTCTTTAGCTTTTACTAGAAAATGTGTGTAGATTTAAACTGAATGCCTATTACCACTTAAAAGGAAAAAACATCCAGTTACACAAATTACTCTGTATGTATAATCAATTTCTTTCAGACTATTTTCCCACACAATCATATACTTTATTTCTTAAAGCCCACACACTATAGGTTAAACTCATCAAGTACATATTGTGTGAACATATGCCCTCCCTTCTATGTCTTTGTCTTAGTCTTCCAAGACAACACTTATCCAAATACAAGCCCCTTTTCTAAAATGCACAGAGAAGTTTCCATTCAGCTCAGCTCTCATGTTGTAGTAATACAATCACTTTCCAAAGCCAATACATAATAACATGCTACTCCTAAAGCTCTACAATGAAAACACATTAACGTAAGCTGTATACATCTAGCTCTTTCAATAGCCTAGAAATAGAGTTCCTACTACTAGCTCCACCTGCTGTCACAACATTCAAACCTACAACTTCCTCTTCACAAAGGCTTTCAGTAATTCTACTGACATCAGATTTCATACCCAAGAAGAAATGTGTCCCCTCCCACCCCGCCTCCAGAGGAAGAATATGTTCAGAAAATTCTAATTTCAAATATGATGTTGAGTCTTTTGTGTACACTGTTCTGCTAATAGTAGTTACATAAACATACTTTACTGTGGTTACAAATTAGGATCACAACATTAGGAACCACATAGATCTATGTGTTTATCTGTGCTTATTGTTAATAGTCTGCAGAATGTATTCAGAAATTGCTTGGGTCATTGGACTCTATCAACAGTTGGCAAACTAATTTTTTAGCTATAGGAAAGGTTCTTCTTTATATGAGAATGAAAGCCTCATGTGTAGAGGAGATAAAGACAGAACTATTTGGTTTGAAGGGCTTCCCATTATTCCCTATCTAGCAGTGT